TTTTTTCACGCACTTGGGCTATTTACCCGCTTCTGAAAATTGTCAAGAATCCCGAGTCAATCAAATGTACACTCGTCTTTTTAAAGTTACTGCGTGGTTTTTTATCAACATTCAATATCGAAAAATGTCTTATGTCCAATCGACTGTCCTCGTTCGCGGTTCACTCACTCGTCTCCTTCTTGTTCGTTTCTCTTGTATGTGTTGTGTGTTATATTCTGTCAGGGTCGCATTATAAAGTATTCAAAGTAATGCTTTACAGAAAAAGGTATTCATCAAAAATATCATTTGACATTATAATCTTATTTAATAAACGGAAATATAGAGCATTGTGCTCCATATATGTATATCAAATTAAAGGTAATCACCCCTATGCTGTAATCCGTCGTATATTCGATTTTGCTACGAATCGTAAAATTTGCATGCTGAAATCCGTGTTGTCGTATCGTAATTTCAAAATTCGTAGGTCATCTTCGAAATTCGTAACGTTGGTATGCCTGAATCCCACATATAGTTGTCATTTTTATGTATTTGTCGGAAATTATGTACGAATAGCAACTCGTGTCGGAGCGAAACAAATTGCATTAAAATATCAATTAAATAAAGTGTGTAAACGCAAAAATATATATTTAAGTTGAAGTGTGAATAGAAAAAAAGTTTATTATTAAATGTTTACAAAATTATCAGGTCGAAGATCACAACAAATCGCTCGCAATACGAAAAACTGGTGGAATGCATTGGCGAAAGGCCGGACATTGCTCGAGGCTTTGTAAAAGAAGCTAAAGAAGATGTGGTGGAATTTTGGGAAAGCGTTGCAAGAGTTAAAGCGGCACAATATCTAGTGAAATGGAGGCCCTTAAAAGGAGGGAGCTTACATTTTATCATTTAAGCTAAATCGATCAGAACAATCTCAAAGCAATCTCTTTTGTATATCAATGCAACAGTTGACTGCAGCATGTTCTTCCTCCAGAGACAAATGTGCACTGGCCACTGAATCCATTATATTTTACTTAATTAAGGAAAAGCCTTTTCAAATGCGATTAAACAATTTTTTTAATTTCACTGTTCTCTTGCGATTATATTTATTTTGATTTGTTTCTGTCAAAGCAGCTGGTAAAGAACTTCGAATTTCACTATTTTATTTGCCAACGCCGTTGATAGTTACGATCGGACTACAGCATACCATCGGAGCTACGAATTCGTAACTACAAACTTTCGGATTACTGCATACGGGTGAATAATTTGTACTTTCTGGCTTGGCCATGTCGTTCGAATGGACAGAAACGCTCCTGCTCTGAAAATATTCAACGCGGGCCGCGATGCTGGTAACAGAGGAAGAGGAAGGCCTCCTCTGCGTTGGAAAGACCAGGTGGGGAAGGGCTTGGCTTCCCTTGGCATTTCCAATTGGCGTCAGTTAGCACAGAAGAGAAATGACTTTCGTGTTATTTTGGACTCGGCCAAAATTGCTTAGGCGGTTACAGCGCCAATAAAGAACAAGAAGACATAATATAAATTTCCTTAGCATTAATTATGCATTTCTCTCAACAAAGGTTTTTTATGAAAAAAAAAAATTATTTTTTTTCGTTTTTGGTATTTTTTGCTTATGCCTGCTAGAGGTATACGCCGCCGAGACACGCCGCCGCCGCCGCGGTTTTTTGTCATTACTCACGCGCCGCCGCCGAGTTACGAAAATATCGGCGAGGCGGCGGCGGCGTTCGGCGCCTAAGGAATTTTGTACAAAATTTTCATGAAATGCATCGCTTGAAGGAACTACTACTACAGAATATATAAAAAAATTTTTCAATACCATAACAATATTCCTTTTTTACATATTACTACAACAACAAGAAAGTTGACACACAACAAAAAACTTGAACGATAATATCTCAGAAAGAAGTTTTAACAGAAGGGCCCTTATTGCATCTAACTCCTCGATTATTGGAGGTAAAACAAAAACAAATTGATGTTCTTGTGTATTTTTTCTTTAATAAAGAATTTAATATTTTTTAAACAGATTTTAAATAAGTAAGTTATTTTATTCCGGGATCCCACAGATGTATACAAGTTCTAGGTGGCTGTGTGAAAACGTATGTTAGCATTCACAAGTGGTGGGCAAACCCCAGAAAGGTTTTGCTCCATCGCATCGCAATGTTTTCAACACAGGGTTAAAGTTCCCCCTTCTTGGTGGATATTACTAGTATTTTTCATTACTTTCGGTTATCCTTAGGAAAATTTTGCGCTTAATATTTTAGTGGAAATTTTAACCATCTATAAGTCATTTTTTAAATAGTGGGTCAAAAAGGCCTATTCTGCTGGGAGTTGATGGGTAAAACTGTTGGAAAATAGTAGACCACCCTAGTTTTCAATCTATAATCCGCAAAAAATAGTAAGAACCCCGTAATTTAACATAACGGTAGATAAGGTTATTACAGAAATTTATTAATAGCGAAATAAATTACTCCAGTATCTTAACTTTTTAATTTTTTTTATTTTTTTAAATTTATATAGTACATACGGATCTATAGAGAACCATGTATGTATGTATATTTCTTTATTTATTTATTAATTTCAGTCTACAGAACTAGTTTCTTACAGACTAGTTGTTGTTGTTGTTGTAGCGGCTACAAAAAATCCCCCCAGATCGGTTGGTATCTCAGTCGTTGTCGTCGAGTTCCACTAACGGCAGCCCCAAGAAGCGTGCAGCCTCTATGGGGTCGGCCCACAGGGACAGCGCTGTTAGGGTTGTGGGGTTTTTCCGGGCATACGAAGAGATGTTTCGAGTCGTGAGGGGTCTCTCCGCATGCCGGACATTCATTCGGCACATTCGCATTTAGCCTACTCAGGTAAGAGTTCAGAGCGAAGTTGGGCTATTGTTGCTCTTGTCTTCCGAGGCAGATGGAGCTCCGTCGCGTCAATGTCCGGTGTTTGTGTGCCTTGTAATGGCACCGCTAACAATACGGCAGAACTATTCAGCGCCGTCGTAATGTTGGTAGCCCTGTTGGAACATACGTTCCACAGGTACATAAAACCGAGTGAAAAAACGAATGTTAATTCAATTCGATATACGCTTTCTAGCCCTTCGGACACGGAAATTCGTGCTAATTAATTTTTTACTTTTAAAACTAGTAGCAAGTAGTTACCGCGCGGGAAAAATACAATTTTGTGCATAATATTTCTTATTAAAGACAGCCGCAGAGCGAGTATCTCTGTAGGAATCCTCCAGGAAGACGCGTCACAAGGAGGTTCCGGGTAAGCGAGTGGTAGTTTTCCTACGTGCGGGTGAATTGTGCTCAATGAGCGGGCTGAGGGCCCAACATAGCGACCGTGACGGTGAGTGTGACCATGGGGGAATCAATTTTTTGACACCCTGAACGGCAGGCGTGTCCGATGTGCTTCTGTTACGACACAGTGGTGGTGGTGGGGAGCAGGATTTCATTGCGGTAGACAATAACGGGGTGCAGTTCAACGTCACCCGCATAGCGCCGCACAAAAACCCGCGCTGCATTTTTGTCCCGTGCATATTCTCGCATAACGGGGAGCCGTGCCATCACCTACACCAGCAGTACCTCATAAGCCGCATAACGCCATTTAAAACGGCACATAAAACGGCACGGTGTCCGTTCAGCAACTGTACTGGGCACAACAGGAAGTACTGCTGCCAACAACAACGGCAGAACAAGCAAATACATATTTGCATATCGGCACCTGACGCCATTTAGTGAGCGTCCGTTATACATACATACATATGCGTACGTAACAGTTAAAGAAACCACACCACCAAAGTACAGTCGTGCAAGTCCATCAAGCACACGAATCAACTCGCTATAGCCAATTAACAACAACACCGAAATTATTACAAAGCAGCAGAAGGCATTTTAAAGGCGATGAGACAGCAGCGAGGGATCGTAGCAGCGGGTGGTTCGATTAGATTTAAAAAAATTTAAATATGGGTGTACTCATGTATATTCCTTTTTAACACATTTTTGTAATACCTACCATTTTTTTTGCGACTACGGCACATTAGACCGACACACGCACGTGTGAAAAATTTCGATTTCTTAACTTTATTTTTTTTTCAAATTCATTTTCAGTACTGAACTCTAATTGAAAGGCTTTAAAGCCACTTTTCGAATTCATTTTCAATATTTAGTTTTAAGTGGTTTGAGGTATTAAACCTATTTTTCAACCTATGCTCAATTTTTTTTAGCTTTAAGTGATTCAAGGCATTAAAGCCATTTTTCAAATTCATTTTTTCATTATTTAGCTATAAGAGGTTCAGGGGATTAAACCCATTTTTTCAACTTCATCATCATTATTTAGATTTAAGCGATTTACGGTATTAAACCCATTTTTCTAACTACATTTTCAATATTTAGCTGTAAGTGACATGAGGGATTCAACCCCTTTTTCAAATTTATTTTTATTATTCAATTATTTAAATAAATATTTCAAGATGTGATTAATACATCTCTTTTTATGCATATTCATAATGCCATCTTGAATTAAATGAGGTAATATACCCAATGGCAAATTTTTCTTTTTTCATAAAATTTTCAATTTTCACGTTTCAAAATTTTTATAACTAAAATGATTAATGTATCCACCTAGGTATAAGTGACTTAATACTGTTTTTGCTAAATTTTTATCGATTCAATTTCCCAATGCTTTTTATTCAAAATACCAAACTTTAATTCAACATACCTACTTTACTACTTTTTACCATATACCGATGTACATGTATAATTGACACGACAATTATTTCATAAATACAAACAATTTTTAAACCAATTTAAAATTTTTGCAATTGCGTGTGAATATAACCCAATATTCCCACTGCATGAAAACGTCCCTATTTTTGCATGCAAATTTTCAGCCGATGACCTACTGAGAAAAACATAAGTATTTTTCACAATTCTATTTCTTTTTGACATTTTAATTTGAACATGGTGAGCGATAGCTTGTTTTGCAAGTTTGGGCCTCCACTTCTTAGAGATTAGCCGGTTATGAGCGAATTTGATATAGAATTTAAAGCATATAAAGCAGATTTTGATAAGATTACTAAGCGTCTTTTACAAAATATACCGTTGTCTACGAATGCGAAAAAATTAAACGAATACAAATATTCGCTTATCAAAGCTTACAATAATATTTTGCTACTAGTTATTGGCAATAGTTTGGCTCATACCTGTAATCTCAAGGAAGTTCAAGTTAAGTTAGCCCGTTGTAAGGAACAGTTAGCAAAGTGCTTTACTAAACTGAATTGTCGCGTTAGGATTCCATCGGATAGCTTATCGCTAATTCGCCAATCAGACTTAGCTGACTCTGAGTCAGAAGAGTTTAGTGACGCCAAGTCAGAAGCTTCGGTACAATTCAGTCTTAAAAGAAGTACTTCACTTCCATCATTTAAAGATCTCCTAACTGTATCCGACGAGCCGTTCGACAGCCGGTTCTACGTACCGGAATGACTCGGGTTTTACCCGACCAAGGGCTGTTGTTTCGGCGATCTAACCCCGTCTAGATCGACGATACCCACCAATCATTATTCGTCCATGGAGCAATACCTTGCAGCCGGATTGCTCCGCATCCTTCTTCTCCGGGCGGGCGTAGAGCCCAACCCCGGACCTGAAATTTACTTCTGCTGTGTTTGCCAGAATCGACTCCACCCGAACTCCACTTCGGTTAGGTGCAACTCCTGCAACGGATGGAGTCACCTAAGAACCTGCTCTGGCCTTAGGTCTCACCGGGAGTGGACCACAAACTTTGTGGCTCCCTGTTGCTCAAGCCAAATGGCACAATCAGCCTCCACGGCTACCCACTCGCGTAATGCACGGGTGCGACCTAGCGCCCGAAGAGCCTGCACGGCCCCCAGAAGCTCCCCTGAGCAACAAAACCTCCCAACACACCCCACCCACACAACCTACCGGCCGGTCCCACTCGCGAGCGCGAGCCAAACAGCAGCTACTGGTTGCCCACACCATCTGCTCCGTGTGCCAGAACAGAATATACCGGAATGTGACATCAGTCAAATGCAACACATGCCTTGGCTGGTGCCACTTCCGGCTATGTTCTGGTCTACGCACCACTCGCGAGTGGACTACCAACTACAGCGCCCCTTGCTGTAGTGCACCGCCGGCCCAGACAACAACGCCCATATCGCAGCCACCTACCATCAGGCTGCAACAGCAACTGCGTCAGGCGCAACAGGTCCAAGGTAGGCCCCACACTTCCCTCCCTCCCCGTATCGCGACCAGCCTCCCAAGGCATACGAACGTACTCCAACTCAACTGCAACGGACTCCAGAGCAAGACTGAGGAGATAGCAGTCTTCATGGGTCGGCACGGCATATTGATAGCTGCGGTCCAAGAAACGAAGTCGCACAGCAACTCAACTGTGTTGGGTTGCGCCGCCTACAATGTGCTCCGTAAAGATCGCGAGCGAGATAATGGTGGAGGATTAGCGTTCATTCTACACCACACAGTGCAGTATCGGCTAATCGAAGAAGACATCGACCCAAGGGACACTACCCTAGAATGTCAGGGCATAGCTGTCCGGTCAGGCGATGTCGAGCTCGAAATATTTAACGTGTACATACCCCCTGTCACCTGCTGCCCGGCTGGATATCTCCCTGACATAGGTGCGCTACTCAGAGGCGAAAACCGATTGGTAGTAGGTGACTTCAATGCGCACCACGATCTTTGGCATTCAAGCCTCGCCAATGATCGGAGGGGAAACATTTTGGCTGAGCAGATAGACGATTCGAAATTCGGCACCATGAACGACGACGCCCCCACCAGGATTGTGGGCAGCTGCAGCAGCTCGCCAGACCTAACAATTTCTAGCGCTGGTTATCATTATATGTTAGCATCAGACCATCTGCCCATAGTCATCTCGATCAATAAGCCCACCGACTTTGCTCCCGCGGATCACCGAACCTACACCAACTTCAACAAAGCTGATTGGAACGGCTTCGCGGAAGTTACCGAGAGCAGCTTCGCCGCCCTCCCCACACCCACAGACGTACATGCTGGCGAACGCCAGTTCCCCAGGGTAGTCACTGCCGCAGCAGCTCGCTTCATACCGTCCGGACGTATCGCGGAAGTCCGCCCAAATTTCCCGGCTGAAGCAGCTGTACTAGCAAATGAGCGTGACCACCTACGCCAGGTCGACCCCGGGGCCCTCGCTTGAGGGACCTTAATTTGTAGATTCGGCAACTGGTAAATCAACATAAGCGGAAAAAGTGGGAAGAGCACTTGAAGGCCTGTAACTTCACCTCTGGTGTGAGTAAGCTCTGGTCAACCGTGAGGTCCTTGTCCAACCCGACGAAGCGTGATGACAGAGTGGAAATCTCATTCGAAGGTCACGCTTCGTCGGACCCGAAGAAATGCGCGAACTATTTTAGTCGGCAATTCACACTGCATCCTTCGGTAGACAAGGCCAAACGTCGAGTGACCAGGAGGCTGCACGAACTGCCCAAAAACAGTGCACCACTTGTTTTCACCAGCGGTGAAGTGAAGGGGGCCATCGGGAAGGCGAAAGCCTCCAAAGCCATTGGACCCGACGGAATCTGTATGCTGATGTTGAAACATTTGGGGCCTGTGGGAGTAGCATACCTCACGGAGGTCCTCAATTTGTCTATGACCACTCTCATCATTCCTGATGTGTGGAAATCAGGGAGAGTGGTCCCACTGCTGAAACCGGGGAAGCCCGCCAACAGAGGAGACTCTTATCGCCCGATAACGCTCCTTTCCCCCCTTTGAGGCCCTGCTGCTCCCATACTTCACCTGCCACCTAACCCCAGCGAAACATCAGCATGGCTTCCGTAAAGTGCACAGCACAACAACAGCACTTAACGCCATTAACACCCAGACTCGTGGCCTAAATCGTAACCCCCCCTGTGAGAGAACTGTCCTAGTAGCGTTGGACTTGTCAAAGGCGTTTGACACCGTCTGCCATTCCACGCTGCTAGAAGACATTGAGGCCTCCTCTCTCCCACAGGGACTGAAGCGATGGCCGGCGAATTATATGAGTGGTCGACAATCATCAGTAATCTTCAGAGATCAAACCTCGAAACCAAGAAGAATAAAACAAGGGGTTCCACAAGGTGGTGTTCTCTCCCCCTTACTTTTTAACTTCTACATCTCGAAACTCCCCCAGCCTCCTGAAGGAGTTTCCCTGATCTCGTACGCTGATGATTGTTCGATTTTGGCGTCTGGGAATGGAATTGATGACCTCTGCTCAAAAGTAAACGGCTATCTCTCCAGCCTTTCTCGCTTCTTCACTGCAAGGAGCCTAACCCTCTCCCCAACGAAATCAACGGCGACCCTCTTCACCACCTGGACGAAGGAGGTCAGGCTAGAACTAGGCATTCACGTTGACGGCACACCTATACCGACGGTGAACAACCCAAAAATTTTAGGGGTTACCTTTGATAGCCGGCTCTCCTTCTCCGCGCACACAACCGCAGTTGTCAACAAAGTACAGAGCCGCAACAAGGTCCTCAAGTCGCTCGCCGGCAGCACTTGGGGCAAAGACAAAGAAACGTTGCTGGCAACATACAAGGCAATTGGCCGGCCGGTTCTAAATTATGCAGCGCCAGTTTGGTCACCGGGGACTAGTTGGACGCAGCGCCTGGGTGCCTTCTGATGACGCCTGAGCACCACCTACACAGCGAGGCCCAAGTGCTCCCCGTAAGGGAACACAACAAAATGCTCTGTAAGCAGTTTCTGGTGGGGTGTCACAGAAGCGAACACCCCAACAGACCACTGCTGGAGGAGGAGCCTCCGCCCAGGCACGTCAGGGGGCACCTATTCGTGTACAAGGACGCAGTCCAGACCCACACAGACCAACCACTGGACCCAATGACGTACAGACAAGCGATTAACGACATTCATAGGGAGTCAGTCTCCACCTACCTCGACTCCCGGCCTAAGAATGTCGTTATCGGAGCCCAATCACCACCTGTGGAAGAGACGCAGCTTCAACTACCTAGAGAGACCCGCGTTACCCTGGCTCAGTTACGGTCTGGATATTGTAGCCGCCTAAACAGCTACCTGTCCAGACTCGACCCAAACATCCCAAATGAGTGCCCGGCATGTGGAGACTGCCCCCACGACACCAACCACCTCTTCACATGCCAGCTCAATCCGACTCAACTAACACCCCTCTCCCTTTGGTCCGACCCCATCGAAACAGCTCGTTTCCTGGGCCTACCGTTAGTTGAGCTTGACGATAATGATTAAAAGTTGACCCGAAACAGGCGGGGCTTAGTAGTGCCGCTACAACAACAACAGCCGTCAACAGCTACCAGTTCACCAAATATTCCGACAACTTTTCAAGAATTTTTAGACATGGCTACCACTGAACAGAAAAATCCTTTATTAGTGTTTGTGCCTCAATCATTAGGGAAAATTACAATGACGATCCGCTAGCACTTGAATCATTTATCGACAAAATTAATTTAATAGAAGATTTTGCAGACGAAAATTTAAATATAACTTTTATATCATTTTTAAAATCGAAGCTCGACGGCAAGGCACGTGAAGCAATTCCAACCGAGGTTAACTCAGTTCGACAAATCAATGATGCGTTGAGAAACAGAATAAAGCCAGACAACTCGAAAGTTGTAGCTGGGAAAATTGCATCTTTACATGTCACAAATAACAGTTATACGGAATTTGCTAAGCGTGTCGAAGAGCTTTCGGATGCATTAGAGAGTTCTTTGATCATTGAAGGTATGACACAATCTAAGGCCCATGAAATGACAGTCGAGCAAACAGTTAACGTTTGTAGACTTAATACTCGATGGGATTTGGTAAAATCAATTTTATCGTCAACTACCTTCAGTGATTCAAAGGACGTAGTGGCAAAAATGATAGTCGAACAAAATAATCAAGTGAAAGAGCCTCAAGTGTTAGCGTTTCGATCCCGAGTAAACGAGACAAATAGTTTTAGAGGTAGCTTCAGAGGTCAAAACTTCAATCGGTACAACAATAACAATCACAGACAAAATAACTCTAATTTCAATAGGTAACAATTTCAACAATAATAATCGGTCATCAGGCAACAATAATCGAAATAATAACAGCAACAATAATAGTAGTAGACGTCCAAATTCACGCAATAATGCTTATGTGCGCGCTTTAAACGCCCACGCCCCCAGGAGCGAACACTGAGGGCGGAAGAATTGGACAATTAGATTAATATTTTTCTACAAACGGCATTTATTGCTTAAATTTGAATTACTCTGACATTATCGAATTGAAAATTAATGGGTCAAACAAATTTTGTACGTTTTTAGTCGACACGCAAGCCGACATTTCTCTAATAAAAAACTTTAGCACTGATAACCATTTTCCTATAAATACAAACGATATAATTGACATTACCGGTGTCACTTCTAATACTGTTTCTACTTTGGGTACGATTACAGTAAACTTGACTTTTACTGACTTTTAAATTAAACATACTTTACATGTAGTAAATGACGATTTTAACATAGGTGACAGGTAATAAGATCAACGGAAATAAGGTCAATTGACTTTATTTCCCACCCTGGTGCGAAATAAAGTCAATTGACACTCTTTTATCCTCAATATTGCACCTTATAACTAAAGATAGTTGGCAGCCCTGATTGGAACATTTCTGCTGTGATTTGGGGCAACAACTTGTCTGCAGTAAAAAAGCATATAATTTGCGTTTTAAAAGTGTGTGAAAACCAATCTATTAACTTATATGATCTCGATTCCGATATTAAATAATCAACAATTGTTTATACCCGCATTTTGGCACATTGGCTCGTTGAGTGTGCCATCTAATAAATAGTGTCGTCATTCTCCTTAGCTGCTTTTAAATGATGTCGTCACAAATTGCTGGCGGAGACATGAATACAGTTTAAGAAAATTCTTTTTCTATAATTGTTTCCTTATAGAAAGGTTGGTTTCTTTTCCACCTTAGACATTCCGAATTCGTTCAAAATATGCTAATTTAAAACACAGAATTCTTTCAGTGTTCCTCCGGGGTTTTTGGACATGGACTGTTTCATCAATTTAATAGTGTTCGCTTTATTTTTGTGGAAACGAAAAATGTTTTGCAAGTTATGGATCATTTCTACACTCTTTCTTCAAATTTTTCTCGTATTCCAGCTGTGTGCAGGCGTTTAGTTTTTCGCATCGTGTTTTTACATATTCGTAATTTAAATTTTTTTAATAAAATCAAATGGTGGTAGTTCATGATTGTATGTGGATTAATATCATAACACTGAGGATTTGGCAATAACCTTTTTCATCTATTAAAAAACAACACTTACGGGGCAATCGCAAAAGGTTATTGCCAAATCCTCAGTGTTGTGATATTAATCCACACACAATCATGAACTACCACCAATTGAAACTAGACGCCTGCGCACAGCTGGAATACGAGAAATATCCATAACTTGCAAAACATGTTTCGTTTCCACAAAAATAAACGAACACTATTAAATTGAAGAAACAGTCCATGTCCAAAAACCCCGGAGGAACACGGAAACAATTCTGTTTTTTAAATTAGCATATTTTGAACGAACTCGGAATGTCTAAGTTGGAAAAGAAACCACCCATTCTATAAGGAAATAATTATAGAAAAAGAATTTTCTTACACTGTATTCATGTCTCCGCCAGCAATTTGTGACGACATCATTTAAAAGCAGCTAAGGAGAATGACGACACTATTTATTAGATGGCACACTCAACGAGCCAATGTGCCAAAATGCGGGTATAAACAATTATTGATTATTTAATATCGGATCCGAGATCATATAAGTTAATAGATTGGTTTTCACACACTTATGAAACACAAATTATATGGTTTTTTACTGCAGACAAGTTGTTGTCCCAAAACACAGCAGAAATCTTCCAATCAGGGCTGCCAACTATCTTTAGTTATGAGGTGCAATATTGAGGATAAAAAAGTGCCAAATTTGTGCCAAATAGAAAAATAAAAGTGCCAAAGAAGGTGTCATTCCTTTTAATCATTCACATTTAGCAATAAAATAAAGCTACATTTTCCAAACAAAAGTGCAATCATAAAATAAGATAAACCAGTTGAATAGCCTTTATAAATTAGAAAATTTTAGTTGAGAAAAAGAAGTGCACGCAAAGGATTTCACAAACATGTATTGAAATGTTATTCTTTTTTACAAAAGTGCCATTTTGGCACTTTGTTCCAAATTGAAAAATGAAGTGCAATTTGAAGTAAAATAGGGACAACTGGCACGGTTTGAGCTAAGTTGGCATCCCTGCTTCCAATAACTTACAAATATAAAAATGTGAAATATCGAGGGCTTGAATGTATTAATACCCTCTATCTGCAGTTTGCACAAAAACTAATTTGTGATTTTAGAAACCATCTGGGACTTATTACCTGTCGTTATATAAGGTAGCATTAATATCACTGATGACAGTTAAAGCTTAGGTGGATTTATCGTGACGTGGTGTGCGCGCCGGTCGCGCGGGGTGCGCGTGCAATGGATTTTATTTCGTTTTTAAAAAGGTAATAATGTCAATTGAGTTTATTTTGCACCAGGGTGGGAAATAAAGTCAATTGACCTTATTTCCGTTGATCTTATTACCTGTCACCACAAAACTATCGTCTACCATATTCCCAACGTGAAGAGATAACTCGCCAAGTTAACATATTACTAGATAACGATTTAATTGAAGGAAGTTATTCAAATTACAATAGTTCTCTAATTTTGGTTCCTAAAAATCTATCAATGTTCAAAAAGCATTTCGTATGTGCGTTGATTTCCGCGCAGTCAATAAAAAACTTATTGCAAACTTACTTGGCAGAGCTAAATATTTTTCTACTTTAGATCTATTTTCCGGATTTCACCAAATCCCCTTGCATGAAGATTCACGTGATATAACTTCTTTTAGCACAGACCGTGGAGCATTTCGATGGAAAGTATTGCCATTCGGTTTAAGTATAGCACCCAACTCATTCTCGCGAATGATGAGTATAGCTTTTTCTGGTATTCCACCCAACGTAGCATTTTTATATGTAGATGACATAATTGTTATAGGCTGCAGCGAAGCACATCACATTAAAAATTAAGCGAAAGTTTTCGAAACTTATCCAAGTTTCAACTTAAAATTAAACCCAAAAAAATGTAATTTTCTCAGGCCCGAAGTAACGTTTTTAGTGCACAAATGTTCAGCAAAAGGTCTGCTGCCAGACGATTCAAAAATAGTTGCAATTAAAAAGTATACTAAACCTACTGACAAAGATGCAGTACGAGGTTTTGTCGCATTTGCAAATTATTACCGAAGGTTTTTTTATAATTTTGCAACTCTGGCAGCACCTTTGAACAAATTAAGTAGGAAAAGAGTAGAATTTGTTTGGGATGAGAAATGTGATACAGCTTTTCAAGCGTTGCGATCAGCCTTAATGTCACCGAAACTGCTACAATATCCAGACTTTACAAAGCAATTTATTATTACAGTTGATTTTTCAAAAACAGGGTGTGGCGCTATACTTAGCCAAGAACAGCAAGGTTGCGATTAACCTATATGTTTTGGTATACCTATTCAATATGAAAGACCCCTCTTCAAAACTTTCAAGAATAAGGTTAGAACTAGCAGAGTACAATTTTACTATTGAGTATACTAAAGGAAAATTAAACGTTGGCGCAGACGCACTCTCAAGTATAACGATAGACGAAATAAGGGAATCAACGAAAAGTATTTTTGCAGTACAGACGAGATCAATGACTAGAAGAGAAAATGAAATTACTCAAAATACAGATAATAACTAAAACGAAAACCAGGAGACATTAAACGTTTATGATAAATTTTCTTACAACTATCCAAAAAAGATACCGCGTATTAGATCAGAAATTACTTATGATAAAGATAATAAAATTAAAAATTTACGAATTTGTGCACATATTAAACATAAAAAACTCGAGTTACTTAATTATGTCTTTGCTAACGAAATAATGAGTTTCGATAATTTACTTTCGAGGCTTGAAATTGAAGCCAGCAAACACAGAATTAAGGAGATTGAATGGCCAAAAGACGATGAATTTTTCCGTCATTTCACAATTGCTAGCTTAAAAAGTCGCGGGAACACAATTTTAAAATCATTACAAATAGTTTTAACACTGACTGAAAATGACAAAAAAATAAAACTAATGACCATTTATCACGACGACGCAATATCAGGAGGTCACTGTGGCATGAAAAAGCTTTATACGAAACTTAGAACAAAATATTACTGGAAAAATATCACCCGTTATGTCGCAAGATATGTTAAAAATTGTCAAAAATGTCTTTTAAATAAAGTAAAACCGAAAGTTAAAGAAAAACTTGTACTAACCCCAACGCCGAATAAACCGTTTGATATTGTTGTTATCGATACAATAGGACCTTTACCAGAATCGAAATATGGTAATAAGTTCGCAGTTACCATTATTTGCGATCTCTCAAAATATTTAGTTACTGTTCCAATACCAGATAAAAGTGCTAAAACTGTTGCATCAGCAATTTTTGAAAGTTTCATTTTAATATATGGTATTATGCACTCTATAAAATCTGATTTAGGGACTGAATATAAAAACGAACTTTTTGCTGAATTAACCAAACTTTTAAAAATTAAACATGACTTTTCGACAGCACACCATCACGAAACTGTAGGTACAATAGAACGAAATAATATAGTATTTAACGAGTACTTACGAGCATTTTTAAACGAATCATATTCCGACTGGGATACATATTTGAAATATTTTACTTTTTTGCATAACACAACCTCAAACACAGTTTTTGATAATAAATTAACTCCATTTGAACTGATTTTTGGTAAAAACGCTGTTTTACGAAGCGACAAAGTACAAAAAATTAAAATTGATCCAATTTACAACGTTGATAATTATGCAAAATAAGTAAAGTATCGTTGCAAAGATCTCATGCACTCGCTTAAGAACTCGCACCAAAACATAAAATCCAATCGAAGAAGTCATTTGATAAAAATGCGCGTCCGGTACTAATTAAAGAAAAAGCTACGGTTTTAATACAAAAGGAACCTAGAGATAAACATAGCAATATTTATTTAGGTCCTTATGTTGTACAGAAAGTAGATGGTGCAAATGTTACGGTTTTCGACAAGACCAAAAATAAATTAAAAACGGTTCACAAAA